GTGAGCTTAAGTCATTGCACAGAGATATCATGGTTGAGCTAATAATAGATGTGCTCAGAGTACTCTCAAGCCCAAACCTTGATATTCGCAGGAAGACACTTGACATTGCTCTTGATTTGATTACTCATCATAATATTAATGAGGTCGTTCAAATGTTGAAGAAAGAAGTTGTGAAGACACAGAGTGGAGAGCTTGAGAAGAATGGAGAGTACAGACAAATGCTTATTCAAGCAATTCATGCTTGTGCAGTTAAGTTCCCCGAAGTTGCAAGCACAGTGGTCCATCTTCTTATGGATTTCTTGGGAGATAGCAATGTGGCTTCAGCACTTGACGTGATTTCATTTGTGAGAGAGATAATAGAAACAAATCCCAAGCTGAGAGTTTCAATCATAACCAGGTTGCTGGACACGTTCTATCAGATCCGCGCTGGAAAGGTCTGCCCTTGTGCACTGTGGATTATTGGTGAGTATTGCCTATCACTTTCGGAAGTTGAGAGTGGCATTTCAACCATTAAGCAATGCCTTGGTGAGTTACCATTCTACTCTGTTTCTGAGGAATCTGAGCCAACTGAGACATCAAAGAAGATTCAGCCAACCTCTTCCGCCATGGTGTCCTCTAGAAAACCTGTGATTCTTGCTGATGGTACTTATGCTACCCAAAGCGCGGCCTCTGAAACCACATTCTCAACACCAACAGTTGTTCAGGGGGCACTGACTGCTGGAAATTTGAGAGCACTGCTTCTAACTGGTGATTTTTTCCTAGGAGCTGTGATTGCTTGCACAATGACTAAACTTGTTCTTAGGTTGGAGGAGGTTCAGTCATCTAAAACTGAAGTGAACAAGACTGTCACACAGGCTTTGCTGATCATGGTTTCCATGTTGCAACTCGGGCAATCTCCTGCTTCCCCACACCCTATTGATAATGATTCATACGAGAGGATTGTGTTGTGCATAAAATTGCTTTGCCATAGGAATGATGAGATGAAAAAGATATGGTTGGAATCCTGCCGTCAGAGTTTTGTCAAGATGATTTCTGAAAAACAGCTTAGAGAGATGGAGGAACTTAAGGCAAAGACTCAAACAACTCATGCTCAACCTGATGATCTCATTGACTTCTTCCATCTAAAGAGCCGGAAGGTAATATTACTTTCTAAACTATGACTGTTGATAATTATTATGAGTTCATTTGCATTCTGTTCAGTTATTATACGTAGAGTTCTGCTTTCTTTTACAGAAGTTTATAGTGGCTGGTTACATTTTTCATTTCGCTCAGTAGATCAAATTACTGATGGTAAGCTTTTTTTTCAGGGAATGAGTCAACTTGAGTTGGAAGACCAGGTACAAGATGACCTAAAGCGTGCCACTGGAGAATTCACCCGGGACGAGAACGATGCTAACAAACTCAACCGCATTCTTCAACTCACAGGATTCAGTGATCCAGTCTATGCTGAAGCATATGTGACAGTCCACCATTATGACATTGCACTAGAAGTTACCGTTATCAACCGTACAAAGGAAACTCTTCAGAATCTGTGCTTGGAGTTAGCTACCATGGGTGATCTCAAGCTTGTTGAGCGTCCTCAAAACTATAGTCTTGCACCTGAAACGAGCATGCTGATAAAAGCAAACATAAAGGTATCGTCCACAGAGACCGGAGTCATATTCGGGAACATCGTCTATGAGACATCAAATGTTATGGAGCGAAACGTGGTGGTTCTCAACGACATACATATTGATATCATGGACTATATATCCCCTGCTGTTTGCTCAGATGTTGCTTTCAGAACCATGTGGGCAGAGTTTGAATGGGAAAACAAGGTGACACACGAAAACTTGTAACTTTTTGTTTGAGTTTGGTGTTTAACCATTTTTCGTTGTGGTCTTCATGTCAGGTTGCTGTGAACACCAAGATTGAGAACGAAAGAGAGTTCCTCGACCACATAATCAAATCCACAAACATGAAGTGTCTCACTGGCCCGTAAGTTCAGATTCTTATTTCTTTTCTCTTATAGACCGAAACTCTGCTTACTAATTAATGCTTATCTCTCTGTTTGCAGATCTGAACTAGAAGGAGAATGTGGGTTCCTTGCAGCAAACTTATACGCAAAAAGTGTGTTTGGAGAGGATGCTCTAGTGAATGTGAGTATCGAGAAGCAAACAGATGGTGCATTGAGTGGCTACATAAGGATAAGGAGCAAGACGCAGGGGATTGCTCTAAGTCTTGGTGACAAAATCACCCTGAAACAAAAGGGTAGTAGCTGAGGTAAGATAGTTCTTATTTTCTACTTCGATCTATTCATGTTGAATCCTCACACTCCTTGACATACCAATTGATTGTTGCAGCCTTGGAATGTTGGGGCATAAGGTAACAGGTTTAGACTACGTTCGTTTCTCTCTTGAGCAATTTTTGGCTGGTTTAACCTGTTTACTACGGAGGGAAGCGTTTAAGCAAGCAATAATGTAAAGATTAATCTGTTATCACTCCTTGGCCGGTATAGTTTCCGGTATGATACGGATGGATTTTTTCTCATACGGCTGAGGTTGTTCTTCGTTTTATAGTACTTGGATGATTTCATGTTATTTGTAATGTTTTCTTTCTTTATATAATGTCATTTGTGGGAGAGATTAAACCATGATTTTCACGAATGTTTAGTCGTTTTTCTTTTACCGTTGGTCCCACTATAATCTATAGTCTCTACTATATGAAACATTATTAGAGATGCAATATAAGACAGACAAAGGATGACCACTTTTGTTGGTGCGAAAAAGAAAGAAATACTTTTGCTAGTTAAAAAGGATTAATGACTTAGACTTATTTCCACAAGATAACTATCATATTACTTAGTAATATGTGTACACAGTCTTTCAATTTTTTAGTACATAATTTAAGTATGACAACATATTAACCCTTGCTTGGAAAGATCGAAATTTGTTCGAAACTCGTTTCCACACAAAATTTAAAAAATAAACTAAAACCGACAAATAGTGGTTTAAAATTGCTTTAATATGCTTTATTTTAAAACTTAACCAAGTGCTAAACCAAATTAATCTGAAATTGAAATTCCTAAATTTCTTCTTTTTGAAAAGAAAAAGAAATGAACCAGAATCCAAGAAGAAAAAGATGAAGATGTTAATGATGGACTGAATAGAAAAAAAAAACTGTGTTGAGACCCTTACAATTGGACCTTCAGTCAAGGGGCCCTTACAACGACTTCGATTCACCTCCGTCTTCTCTTCGCCTCTGGATCGAGCTAGATCCATGGCTGTTTCCGTTTGCTAGGTACCTTTCGACAGTTTCTACTCTGCTTTTCATTAGTTTTGTGTATTCTAATATATATATATATATTATTATGTGAAGGATACATACAAGAATCAAGCATAGTCTATTGGTTTATGCGCTGCTTTAACCGCTTAACCTTGTGGGTTCAAATCTGTGCTGGAGCATTTTTATTTTATTTTCCCTAACATATATGATTTTATACGAACAAACAGATATAAACAAACTAAACTTTCTGGAATTTTAGATTTTAGGGTTCTAAAGAAATCAATTTTGGGGGTTTTAATAGGAATCCCGGTCGGGTTTTAATCGATTTATAGTTGTTTTTTCGTTTAGGTCGGATTGTACCAATATCAACATATAACAACTGGGTTACTATCGATTAATGTCCTAAACCATTAAAATCAAGTCAAATCTTGGTCTGGAAACGGGTTTCAATCTTTTGAAACAAGGGGTAATAAGTTGTCATACTGAAAGTATGTGCCATTAGGCAGAGGTTAAAATATTGTGTACATTTATTATTATATGATAGTTATGGTGTGGAAAAAGGTAGATAATCCGGTGATAAAAAGTAAAGAAATAAACAAGCAGGATCAGTGTTGGTTAGAATGACAATAATTGATAGTGACAATAATTGATAGTGAGTTCCTTAGATTATACCAATAGCTTATGGTTTAGAATATAGGTTGTAAATATTGATTTATGCATCAGCAATTTGATGCCAATTTTGATGAAAGAATATACCTGAGAACTTTGAGTTCTTGTAGAATATGAGTGGTTTGAAGAACATGATTCAAGCAAGGCAACATCATGACTCATACAACATATTGAGAATTTCAAAATACAAGTGGAAAATTATCTTAGACTTTTGTTCACATTGAAGAATTTTATATGAAAGAATATACATGAGCATCATGAGTTTTCGAAGAATACCAGTTAAGTAATTTGAACAATATGACTAGTCTATGCAACTAAGTCGGTTCCTTTGGTACGGTCTCGCTTCAGTACTATGATTCCAATTTTGGATGTTCCACAAGCCAAACCTAACTTCTTGTGTGAAAAATACACTGAGACGAATCAATGCAATATGTTCTAAAATTTAAATCTGACAAAAATGTAAGGTTTTACATTCCCTTGTTATGTTTTCTTTTATTTTTATTTTTGCATCTTGCTTTTTCAAACTAATTCATTGATTTTTTTTTCTTCTTATTTTTATGGTTTTAATTGAAAGTCACATGCATTCTACCTTCTATTCTCCATGATCCAGAGGACGATGTTTCCATGGAAAACTTACATGATGAAGATCTGTATGAAATAAAAAAAATTTCAACCAAGGATATAGATTTAAAGTTGAAGATTTGAAAGAGTATGTCAGCTATCTTATGTGATGCTTTTATTGAAATATCAGAAAAATCTCATGTGTTGTTTGGAAATAGGCCAAGGTTCTTCTTCAAACGAAGAGTCTCTCAATTCAAAGTTAAACTATTTCATCAGAATACAAGATGAAACCTTATTTAGACTTAAAAATGGGTTCACATTTCACATTAGTTCACGTTTCACGTGATTTGAACTAACCAAATTTCGTGAAACAATTTTTTATTTGGGTCAAATAATGGAAGGATATCCACTAGTGGGTAAAATACTCAAACCTAAAGAACTGAACCAAGCCCGATAAAAAAGTTGTACTAAATCCGAACCGAAGTTGATAAAATATCCGAACGGATTCAAAATTTTGGTATCTGAACTGAATCTAAATCCAACCCGACACCCAAAAATATCTGAATCACAACTGTGTAGCTGCTAAAAGATGAAAAAGGTGATCTTCTCCGTAGCTTGTTAGCCATAATCAATCTCCTTCTCTTGTTTAACAGACTCTCCACTTTCATAAGATCTTTGGCATTGCTAGCTTCCATTAAATTCCCAAATGATTTCGATTTCCCTATATAATGATTTGGTAATCCTCTTCTGAAATTTATAGAAACAAAAAAAAAAGAGGAGAATTAATTAGATTTCAGAAAACAATTTTTTTGGGAAAATGAAAGAATGATCAAGGAAAAAACATACTTGATCAGAAGAGAATCTTCCAGGGAGGAACCAAACCATGTTCTTTGTGACAAAACGACATGTTCTTTTTCCTTCTCGTTTTTGCTGCTTTTTCCTGACACGATAACAAATGAAGAACTCTCTGATATCTCCTCCAGCTGAGACTTAACACATCTCCTTAACCCGATCATGACTCCACTGCGGCTAGTTTCCTCCGTCAAGAACATAGCTGCTGGTGCAGCCTTATCCTTTGCCGCCAAAAACTCCATTTCTCAGTTCTTCTAGCCTTCTCCTCTTCGACCTAGAATCCTCATGTTTATCCACCTATCAGACTCAGCTGTCATCAACCGGCGAGGAGGTGCGTAAGATAAGCTCCAGTAGGAGATAGAACCGTAATATATAAACTATGGAAAACTGAATATTGTAAAAACTAAAATGATAAGATTATACAAAAAATTAAGAAAAAAGATGATACAATAGTAGAGTTGAGATATTATCTCTTTTCTTAACCTAAAATACGTTCCGTAGTGCGACAGTTCTATAACGTAATGGATCACAGGATACAATTGCAAAAAATCTTCTGATTTGCGTCACTCTATCAGAAGCCTAACGAAACTAGTTTTGTGATGTATCTTCAGACTCAAAATAATGAAATAAAATACTAGCATAACTATTTCATAATGGGAGAGTTGGTTTCTTCTCTTTGTATGTTTGTCAAATCTTATGAGAAAATGTAAGTTTGTTATTTATAACAAAACACAAAGTCTAATGTTAGAAATTAGTCATAAATGGATAATTTTATTTTTAATGAGAAATAATTCTCATTAACACCAATGTTAAATTTTTATCTTACACAATTTAATTCTTATATTAATTTTATGTTTCAAATTAAAATTAAAAGAGATAATAAATATGTTGACTTATTCAACACATTATGAATTTGTATGTTACACAATTGAATTCTTATTTTAATTTGATGTTCCAAATTAAAAAATAAAAGAGATAATAAATATGTTGATTTATTCAACACATTTTCATTTGGATAAAAATAATCTTTTTACCATATCTCTTTTTTCCAGTACACTAATGTGTATTCAAAGATTTGAGTTTCTATTAAACTTTCCACTTTATATACAAAAGAAATTGCTCCTCATAATTTCAACGTAGGACATTTCCAAAATGTTTTGTTTTAAGCTTTACAAGTAATCCACTTTGAATTTTCATTTTTCATTCAAACTAATTCTATTTTTGACATATAATTATAAATATATTTTTTCATAATGTCCAAAATATAATTCCAATAATAGACACAGCTGCACAGGTTAAGAGCTGGTTCTAGAGAGAAATAAAGTTTTTGTATTGATAAAATTATTATAAAGAACTCGAAGATATGAATATACATGCACATATGTGCTCGTGACTCACAGTATTTGAGTCTTATCTGTGTAATACGCGCACAGTTTCTAAAAATAGTACCCCGAGCAGAAGACGCTAACGGCGACTTTGAAGTTTCTCATACGTTAATGATGATGTGGTGGTGATGTATTGGTTGGCTCGCGGACCTTAACCGGACGTTTTGGAGTTACTGTCTCCGTTTAGTCGGATGCTGTCTGAAAGTCCAGGTTATGGTGTACCGATAAGCTAGTGATGGTTATAACACCAAAAAACCTTATCCAATTTCTTCTTTTTTTTGGGGGAAATAGTTTTTTAGGCTAAAAAAATGGTAATATTATCCTTTTAGGCTAATCTCTATTACTTTATGTCCCATTAGGCTAAATATTTTCTAAATGACAATAATGCCTTAAATTCAATTAAAAATCGTAAAAAATTAAAAATAAAAATCTTCAAATCATAAAAAATGAGAAGAAGAAACTGCTCTATCTGACGGGATCGATCGATCCCAGAAACAGTCGGTCAATCCGTCCGACATGAGTTCCCAAATCTTTTTTTTTTTACTTTTCTAAAAAAAATCGATTTTTTCTAATTTTTTAATTAAAAATCAATTTTATTTATGTAACAATCGAAATTGAATATTTTCATATATTTTCTTCCTATATTTGCGTAACAAAATATTCTTATCCGTAAAATGTGTATTCTACTATATGTAGACTACATTAATAATCTTTGAAAACAGGTTCTACAGATTTTAGATTTATAACAATATGTAGATTCTGAATTTCTGATTTCTACTTATTTTAGATTTTATAGCAATGTGTAGAATCCGTTTTCTACTGTTTTTAGAAGGATAGTTTAAGCATTAAATCTGTATTCTAAACATATTAGATTCAATGAAAAAGTGAATTCAATGATATTGGTGTTTCATAACTAGTTATTACTTTTTGATTTTTTTTTTGTTTCTAAAACTATTTATTTAATTTATTTTCAAAATTAGTAAAGAGCATTATAGAAAAAAATGGTACAAAAAAGAAATTAGCCTAAAATGACAATGTTACCATTTTTTTGGCCTAAAAAACAATTTTCCCTTCTTTTGATCAAAACCTTATCCAGTTTCTATTATATTGAATTTGTTAAGATATGATGGTTGGGATATATCTTTATTTGTAGTTATCATAAACCTTACTAGTTTATGATTATCCTTTGGCATGTAATCTTTATTCTAGTAGGATTCTAGTTTATCCTTGTCATTGGATAGATTGTAGACACCATATATATATGTGTGTCGTGTGGTTTAATGAGATACACAAGTTACTACTCTTCTAAT